CACACACACACACACACACACACACACACACACACACACACCCTCACCAAGCACAAAAACAACTTCTGCGTCTTTCTGTAAAATTTGAGTTTATATTTGAATTTTGTCAAAATTCACAAACACAAAGATGCTATAAACTTGGATTTTAGGCTTTAACTCCTATAAAAAGAAGCTTAAATGTGATAAATGAAATAACATGAACTGGATTTATATTTTAACTGCTATAATTTAATCTACTAAGMAGTGTCGTGGAAATGTTTATTTTACGAGACATGAGATACAAGAACAAAAAGTGCTCCATGGTCAACAAGATTTATTGCAATTGCAAGGCGCACACCGTGTCACACTGGGCAGTGGTACAAAATGTGTGCAAATGAGGCAGACTCAGATGCACTTACTTAAACAGCATGTTATCAAAACAGACACACTGTGCCAAGGAGAGAGTGACGTTTGATAAACAGCAACAAGAATGATTACTTCTAAACAGCTATTGTCCTGATCTTAAAACGCTTTGTCCGAGAGAAAGCAGAAGATAACGAGTAAACTCATAAAACATGATGACATTTTACAGTAAGGAAAAGAGGCCACTGACTCCTTGCCTGAGAAGAAATGTAGGACTCTAAAGGATAATTTATTTTTCTAAGACAGCAAAAATGTATGTTAAGACCCAGGCTGTTTTGTAGTTCATTAAACTGTACAGCACCTTGTGAATTTCTTCTGTGAAAGGCGATATATAAATAAAACTTTACTTACTTACTTAAACTGTCAACACTTTTACACTACATTTGCACATTTTCTGGAAAATGATTTTTAAAATAAGTGCTTGGATAAATTAAGTGCAGCTCAGAACCATACACTAACATGGTTCCTTTTATTGTAAATAATTCATTTATAAACCCCAAAGGGCCCTAATGGACCTTCGCAAACTGTTGGGGGCCCATTTAAATATAGATCACTAGACTGAGCCCCGCCCATACCGTCCACTGGTAGTGTCTGTGACAGCATTGAGGAGCAGAAACAGAACAAACAGGGCAGCAGCTCACAGCCTTCATAGAAACTAAACAGCAGCCGAACTGGATCTGTTTCCCAAATCATCGGTCATGTTTTTACAATAAATTAATAACTATGTTAATTTCATTCAACAATCATGTAAAACAGCAGATTTATACCAGAAAAATATATAATTTATAAGTAACAATGATATAATCCAGACCTGAAG